TAATCTACTTTCTTTAATCGTTTGCTCAGCATACAGATTAAATAAATACGGTGAGAAGATACAATCCCGACACATTCCTTTCCTGATTTTAAACCTTACAGTTTCACCTTTTTCTGTTCACAGGAAAAGATCAATTTACAAGCTCTGCATAAGCACAGATCAATTTACAAGCTCTGCATAAGCACAGATCAATTTACAAGCTCTGTATAAGCACATTTTAGTATGATGGGACATCCACTCTTCTCAAGGCGATCCATAGTATTTTATAGCTCAAAGAGTTTGTGGTAGTTACATACGACTTAAGAGTGAAGGGGTGGAGTTTAGCCAGGTCGCAGCGTGATGACCTCATTTGGAGGCACTAAGGAGATGAATAGCTCCTTGGAGGCAGGACACACGCTCACTCCCTGTGAGACATTCCTACGGACAAGACACATGGAGCTACGCTACAGCTCTGGAGCTGGAGGAGCCATGTGGAGACCCCTGCCAGCGCTGAGATGCTTACAATGCCACTGGATCTACAAGACTTTCCACCCACTGGCCTGTGATCTGCCTGCTTTCAGAGTCATTGCATGAGTCTGACGAGGAATTTATAGATTGGTATCGGACATAGGGGCTAATATCCGACTTATGGACTTGATCTGGACTGGTCTGGGATGCTTTCTCAATATTCAATTGCTCTTGTATATAAAGTTTCCTTGTACACATATGAGTGTCTGAATTTGTTTCTCTAGTCTACGCAGACTAACACACAGTTGAAACCCTTAGCATAGTCAATAAAAGACATGTACACATTTTTCTGGTATTCTCTGCTTTCAGCCAAGATCCATCTGACATCAGCCATGATACCCTTTGTTCCATGTCCTCTTCTGAATCCAGTCTCAACCTCTAGAAGTTCTCTTTCAAACACTGTTGAAAGAGATCTTCTCCGGGGACTGGTCTCTCCTGACAACATGTCCAGCGTACATGTGACAAAATCTTGCCGTCATTGTCCCTGAGCATTCTGGTTGTGCTTCTTCCAAGGCATAATTTCATCCACATTTTGCTTGCATGTGATACTAATAATACTGTCCTATAATTTGAGCATTCTGCTGGGTCACCTTTCTTTGGAATGTGTACAAATATGGATCTCTTCCAATCAGTTGATCAAGTAACTGTCTTCCAGATTTCTTGGCATGGACCAGTGAGTGCTTCCAGTGCTTTATCAGCTTGTTGAGATATTTCAACTGCTATTCCACTCATTCTTGTACATTTGTCAATGGCTAATGCTTTCAGTGCAGCTTAAACGTCTTCCTTCTGTACCTCTGGTTCTTGATCATATACTGCCTCTTGAAATGGTTGAATGTCCACTCGTTCTTTTTGGTACAGTCACTCTGTGCATTCTTTCCATCTTTATTATTTTGCCCATAGAGTCTTTCCATATTGCAACTTGAGACTTGTATTTTTTCTTGAATTTTTTCAGTTTATGATTTGGTGTTGTGTATTCTTTCTTCTTGGTTTTCTAACTCTAGGTCTTTGAACATTTCATTCTAATGTGTAAGGTGCTTTTATAATTTATGCATGCCCACATACATATTGGACTTATTTTATAGTTCCAAATTATACATTAAATTCTCTCTTATTTATTTTTAATTAAATTCTCTTTAAAATAATCACACAAAATGATGCACATATTGAACATTTTGAAGATACTGATTTTATACAAAAGTGCTAAACTTCCTAAAATATAGCACAGCCATCTTACCATATTTTATAAGTGGCTAAAGGTTAAATTCCAATTATTTTTCAAATGTATCATTTCTTTTAAAATGTAGTGTATTGGTTGTTCAGAAGCCTTTCTCGTGTTTATTTATACAAGTTGTTATTAAAAGTCTGATTGAGCCCAGTCCATTCTACAGGTACCTAGGTCTGGGTTGGTTTATGGTTGGAGACCACGCTGAGAAAACAAAATGGGGAAGGGCTTTCTACTAGTTTCCCCTAAATTGATTTTTTTTAATTATGGAAATATTTTCTTTTTAAAAAAAATCATTTTACTGGGGGCTATTGCAGATCTTATAACAACCCATACACCAATTAAATCAGTCACATTTGTGCATATGTTGCCATCATCATTTTCAAAGCATTTTCTTTCTACTTGAGCCCTTGGTACCAGCTCCTCTTTTTCCCTTCCCTTCCCCATCCCCCCACCCTTTTGGACCCTTGATAAATTATAAATTAGTATTATTTTCATATCTTAATACTTTCTTATCTTCCTAAAACCATGAAAGTCAATATCTAGCTTACTTTATCTTTGTGTTTAGCAGATTTGGATTACTAATTCATATAAAAATAAGAATATTTATCATATAGTATTCACAGCAAAAGGAAGTATTTTATATAAAGTATCTCAATATAGTGATGTAGGTTCTTTTAACAGAAATAAAAATTTCAGAGCATACACAGAATATATGTTTACATTGAATTGTCTTCATAATTTATATGCAACTTTTATTTAGCAATATTAAGTATTTTTAATTATTGATTTTAAACAATGTGTTGAAGTTCATCTTTCTACCCACTTCTCTGCAACCTACCACTTCCATGTGACACAGCAAGGGCAGCTTCAAAAATTCATTGCAAAATCCCATATCTTTTCATGCTATTTTTTCACAAACTTTTTGAAGTTTCTTCATATACTGTATTTTAATGCAGTTCATTTTAAAAGAAAAGATCCTAAAATCCACTTAGCCAATAATGTTTTAGTTAAAATACATAAAATATAATCCTTTAACATACATTGACATGTTGTATCAAATCATAGAAATTTATTAATATACCATGCAATTGTCTCAGGTAAGAGCATATCACTTTGCCCCAAATCATTTGTTTCTATCACTGTTATAACTTCATAATATAGAGTTATGCAACATACATTTTACTATAAATTAGCTGATACATGTTTAAATATATGATAGCTAAGGTTATGTTTATTGGTTTTCCCCCTCTGTCACTTAGTTAACTACTTAATTTTGTAAGAAAGGAAGGCATTCATTAATCATATTACCTTATGTTTTGCAACCAATCTTACTATCAAAGAAGTGTGCCAGACATAGTGAAAAGCAGTTTCATTTAAAAAAGTAATTGCACTGTGCCGTGTGTCTACTGAGGATGCTGAAGGAAGAACACAGAGGACCGACAGACACAGAGCAAAGGGGACCTTTGAAGCCAATTGCAATTAGCTTCCTTGTTTCCTTTACTCTTAAAATATAAGCAAATAAACTCTCTAATGCATTTACTCCATATGCTAAAGCACATTGTATACATGTGAGTCAGACAAAGGTTATTTTTAAAGTAGGATATCATGGAACTAGCATTGTTGTTTTCTGATGCAGGATTATCTTATTCCACATTGGCCTCTCATTTAATATATTCATTCCACAAAGCATGTGGTTGGAAAAACTGATTTTTATTTTTGTCACAGTGCTTGCCAAGTATTTTAAACTGACACCAGCACTGACTAATGATACTGCTGGAATGCGCTATTCTCAGTAGAACAGAGGCCCCGTACAGACCTGTGAGTGTCCTGGGGTCCAGCTTCTGTCCATCCAGGGGGTTGGTGCCATACAAGAGTGAATGATGTTCAGAATGAACAAGCTGTATTTCCTCCAGGCTGGCTTTTCGACCTTGAATTCTCTGAAAGAAAACAGCAGAAGTCTACAGTACTTCACTGACAACATTTGGAAGAAAACAGACCGCAGATCATATTTAAGGTGATTAATAGTGGACTGTGCTTGAGCACGCAGGAATGTGACACTGATTTGCTTATGAAAGCATCCTAATAATATTTGAAAAGCCAGTGTATGCATGGCTCAGATGCAATGGATTGCTTATTCCTAAGTGAGCAATTGACATTTAACATATTCTTCTTTTGGCATCAAAAGAAAAAACAACATTAACTCCTTTTTAAAAAATATCAGCTAAAAAACGCACGGGTTACACACAGATGCATAACTTGTTTAGCAAAGAAGTAGTAAATTCATTAAAATCTAATTTTACATTCAACTTAAGAATTGTTCAAAAGTTGGTACTTTTTCTTTCTCGTGCTAAGTACAAATATTTCAAATTTAAAAATTTTTTGATAAGCATGCTCATCCTTCATGTGTGTACACCTAAGGTATAAAAGTAGTGTTACCGTAGGGCAGTGTTTCCTAGGGTGTGCTTTACTGCCCCCTGGGCGTGCTGGAAGGATCGAAGGAAGCTGCAAACACAGATACCTATACTTTATCCTGGGGTGTGGGCTACAGTACAAAAGCTGTTTAATTTCCAGAGGGGCACTGAGAGTTTTTTCTTTCTCTTCTCTCTCTTTTTTCTCTTGTCTGAAAAAGGGCTGCATCAGAGAAGCATCAGGTGGTGTACCAAGTTAACAAAACCTCTGTTGTTGGTGGGAGTTGCCCTCAGGTCTGCTCGGACCCCTGATGAGCACATGGAGAAGATAATGAAGCCCTTCCTGGACCAGTCAGGCCCTTCTCCGGGAAGGTAGCCCCATGAGTGCACCCGTGTGGCTATCACGTCCCTTTATCGCTGTCTCCCCCTGTTGCTCCTGACTACGCAGCTACCAGTTTACATGGAATGCCCAGGTCACAATACCTCTCGCAAGATAAAGGCAAATCTCTACTCAACCATTTCAGCTGCAAGTGACATACTCATGTGGGTTGATAATACGTGGTTCACCGTGGGGGTAGGACAGGGAATCTTTGATATACTGACACTTCTAAGACTTTTTCTGGGTAGATGCCAGACCTGTGCTTGTCGTTAAAGATAAATGATCAGGTTGGATTGGAGGAGGAATGGTGGGAGACTTGAGGGTTACCATCAGGACATGATGTAAAGCAGAGCCACCTTGACATGGTGCCACTGGGTGCTGAATAAATAAACAGAAACTTCTACAATTGTCTTTTCAATAATAAAGAAGTTTTCTGGTTTTGACACTATCATTGTGTTACTCTATATCTCACTGAAAAAAATTATACATAGATATAGATATCCAAGATATTATCCTCAGGTAGATCAAATAAGATCAATAACTTTGAGGCCTATGGCCATTTATTGATGGCCATCGGATCCACCATCGTCTGCTCAATAAATATATTATTAGACTCAGTGCACTGCAAGTAAACATTTAGTTTGACCAAACTAACAAAAAACAAGAACAGTCCAAAAACTAAAATGACAAGTTAGAAGATAAAATGAACTCAGGAAAGTACAAAGTCAATAGAGAGAAGTGCACTTTCGTTGTAGATTTCAGCTGGGGAAACTCCTCCAGATACAGAATGGTTCCTATCTGGCTTGAGTTATGCAAGATTTGAGAACAGACTGCAGCAGCCCGTCCTGAGTTGAGATGGAGGAGACAAAAAGAGCAATAATCTCATCAGTGGTAAAAGTGCTGGGCTTCTCTCCAAAGGGCTGGCCACTGAATCCACCAGCCACTCGGCGAGCGAAAGAAGTGGCTGCCTGTGCCCATAAAGGTGTACAGCCCAGGAAACGCTACCAGGCCCTGCTTGTCCAGTTGGCTTGTTCTGAGTCAGCATCCACTCAGTGGCAATGTTGTTGTTGTTGTTGTTGTTTCATTTGTTTGTTTGTTTTCTGTTTCTTTGGTGGAGGGTAGTGGGGCAAGTTCCGCTTTACTTTCTGCGAGGTGATGAAGTTACAGCCACTAGCAGACAGATACGGAGACAGACACTTGTCTCTGAAAGTGAATTTTACAACTAGTAACTAGAGCCATGTCTTGACTATAAACATTCATGTTTATGAATTCTTTTCCTTTCTCCTTTTTAGTATTTCAACTCTAAGGTGAATGCTGGCTCACTAGGTACCATGTGTAATGAATGCCCTTTGTTTTCATAAATAAGCCACATAATGTCCCACGCTTGTTCTAAACCCTTCTTCATCCCCCACGTTCTGACCTTCACTCAGTCTAAATGTCAATCACACATGATTTAATTGCTGACAGTAGCTCAAGTGATGATAAATCATAAAAGGCCACCTGCTGAATTTCAGTCATCCTCTTGTATAATATCAGGCAATTAACAGTGAGAATAAAACATCTGACTCAACCTCCTACTATGTCCTTATTCTACGAGCACAACCCTCTGGTCTACCCGCTCGTCCCCTCTCTCACTAGTTACTGTGCCACCATGCACAAGTTTTCACGTTGATTACTTTTGTTGTCCTTCCTTACTTCATTTCCAGGTCTAGAGTGTGTTGTACATTCATGTGCTTTTTAATTTTATTGTTAGAGCAGATATTTCTTGTACCATGGTCTTCTACTTCCGTAGCTGCTACAGAACCAGCTCCAGCAACACGCTACACAGGTTTCTACAGACTGAGAAGGGAAAATGAAGTCCCTAAGAATGTTTATATCTGGAGTAAGGAGCTGGAGAAAATGTGTGCTATGATTTGTAGCTCACAAGAACCCTGCTGTGGGAACTGAGTGGGCAAACTAAATGAAAAGTTCCAAAACAGCAAAAGCTTTCTATTTCTTAATACATAAAATCTCTTGGAATGGTTCCATCTCACCTCACTTTTATTATATGCCTCAAACTGAATACTCCACTGTGGTCAAATAATCAAATAGTACCACTTCTTGGACTACTACCCATCATTGACTGTGCTACTTGTTTGTGCTTAAAGATAGATATTCTCACTTGAACCCTTCCATATTTTCTATTTCCTGCAAGCCCTTTATCCCTCCATTTCTCTCTCATGATACTCTCTTGAGTCATAGGCCAGTAGCACAGTGAGTCATAAATTAGGAAAAAGTCCTTTCACAATCTTACCCCAAAATAAACTGATTTCTGTTCCTAGAGACACCTGGTCTGCATAATGTCTTCCCCAAATCACTTACAATATTCTGATCAAAAGGATTTGGGGGACTTCTGGGTACACGAGGAGCCTAGGTGTACTCAAGGGATGAAGTTTACCCAGGACATTTTCATTTAAGGTACACCTATAGAGGTCAAGTGTATTGCCAGTGTAGGCCTAGGGAAGCTTCTGTAGGGTTCTTTTCTCACGTTCATAAAGAACCATCACCACACAGAGCTGGTTCCTCGGTCCGTGAACATTGTCTGTGACGCACACTCAATGAATTTCTTCCCTGAGATAGGGAAAAGAGCAACTGTGCCCACACTGTGCTAAGCACCCCAAGAATGTTATCTTCCTTCGATCAGGCCCAGTGGAGACCCAAACTGGTCTATGTTCAGGTTGGAATTGTTTAAAATGACCATATCATTGAGTCTCCCAGCACACCGTGGTCCTTTCCTAAAGAAACAGTCTTTCTAAAATAAAACCCCTTAATGCAACCTGATTACAGAAGGAATGCTGGGAACATGCTCTACAAAGTCATACTGTGACAGGATAAAAAGCAGCCTCCCCACACCCACCCACACACAGAGCACACACACGGTATAGATTGATATTTTTTTTCTGCCAAGGACCAGGGAAAAAAGGAAACAGTTCTATTCCTTCCCCTCCTGTGTTCAAAGCCTGGATTGAGGCCAGTGTCCTAATCAGTTCGCATTGGCCCTGGAGGAATCAGAACCTTTTGTAAAATATAATAAAGGGCATAAAATCATGATAAAATGCATGAAAAAGCAGTGCCTTTGGTTAGGGAACTAGAAATAATTTAGCAGAACAGATGGATTGCATTGGTTTGGTATTATTGAGGACATGAAAGGGCTCATTTTGTGGCAGTTCCAAAATAAGAGAAAATGTCCAACTTAAATTTGACAAGTCAAAGTACCTGCCTCCGCTGGGGGAGACTCTACTTTCTTTAATCATTTTCAAAGTGGTGACATATTCGGCAAGGATTTCCACTGAAATATCTCATTTTGGGAAAATAGTTCATCCATTGTCCCTAAACACAGGGATGCAGGTTTAAAAAAAAAAAAAAAGAATCAACAGGGCTACAGACTTACAAAGTTGAAAAAAAAAAAAAGAGCAAATGACTGATTGGTTTCAAAGTTGCCCTCTGCCATCGAGCTCATTTTTAAGAGTAAATGAGTCCATTTACAGCCTGTTGATTATTCTTAGTATATATTTTTCTCTAAAAACAACAACAAGACCCCACAGAGGTCTAGTCTGATGGTTCATGCCCAAGTACATCTACTGGAATTTTCAAAAGATAGAACCAAATGCTTTAAAAAATAAGTTTTATAAGAACCTGTTCCAATAACTGTGTCCTATCCCAGTGTTTTCTGTCCTTGCCTGGCACCCTCCTTGTCCAACAACGGGTTCCACTCACATGATGCTTGTGGAGAAAGGAAAGAAGGAAGGGGGCAGGCAGGCAGGCAGCCTGACAGGCTTCTGTCCTTGCTGCTGGTCACCCGGCAAGAAAGGACATTCCAAGTAAGAGGCCTTCATGAACCTATTATGAGGTATCTCTCGGGACTTTACTTCTTTATCTAAAAAAGCAAAGAAGCTTGTCTAGATTATTGAAAACCTTCCTTTTAGCTCTGAAATGATGTGATTCTAATTCAAATAACTTTATATCCCAAACTCAATCCTTATACTTTCCTTGACTCAAGAAAGGAGCCCAAGTCAAGCTGTGGGTTCGTGTTGGACTCTCTGAAGCATCATTCTGGAGCTGACTGCTTCTTGAAAGATTTACAGTCTTGGTAGTCCTAGATAGGGTTGCT